CAAAATCTGTGGAACTATCAAAGCAACAGCAAGTCATATCGAAATCCCAAAATACCTCAGTAATGCCGTTGGATAACTATACAGTCCAAACGTTCTCGGGTTCAGATACGTACTATACGGTTAAAACTGGCTCAACAAATACACTTGTTAAGTACGTGACAGTCAATAAGGATACTCCCGACAAAAGGGATCAAAACTCTGTCTACCAGAATCAAGTCAACGTTTCCAGTAGACGGTCAAAAGACAAACAGTCGGATCACAGCACAACCGTAAGTTGAACCAGAACAAAATGTCAAGTGCGGAAGAAAACAACCTTGGCAACAGTCCAGCGTCAAGTAATAGGAAAGTGAAACATTCATGATAGGTCCCAATCGTACAAAGCCGAATACTGAGTACAAAGTCAAAGAAGGCAGTCAAACAATTAAATAACATTACACCTGCTGAGGTCTAAGGTACACGATCCATAACGAGGGTAGAACTGTTCAAATAAATGTCGATACCATCAAATAGGGTGATCAGGAGGGATTTTCAGATCATTTTCCCGTTACAATCTATATGTAACTACTGCCATCTCAACCACAAACCGTTTCAACGTCTACTTCCATCGACTACTACAAGTATTCTTAGTGGAATTAATTTATATTACCTTTGAGCGCAACGTGGTGGACTGGAAATGCTCTGATTTAGATATATCTTGGTCATATAACTGTGGATACTTACTGACACTACTGATCGTATAAATGGGTCCCTTGTTAGCAAGGCTAAAAACTAAAAAACTTTCTGATGGATGGACGGTTATATTACTAAATAACGGGATATGCAAATGGACTAACAATATCGGCTGGTTATAACCCAAACTTCGAACATTGCACACATTTGCTCCCAATAGTGGAACCTATCCGTGCGACAGGAGATGAAAATCCATACCCGTCTCATGAATTTCAGCAAGTTTTAATAAGATTATGCACACTAAAGACTTTACACCTTAATCATTTGATACCAACCACCACTTTGCACACTTTCATGAATTATCAATTTGGTGGCGCTTGTAAACTGGTATCCCTCATATTAAATCCATCATATGAGGATAATATTTTATCATAATCCAAACGTTAACCTTCTGCACGTGCTGAAAACTGACATTTTTCGTTCGTCTCGTAGCTGGCATCGTCTTCTGCTGTTTTTAATATAGTTTAATAACGTTTCGTTTGTACCATTCATTGCTCGTAAAATCTTGTAGATTTTTCAACATATATCAATGTGATGGTGCCTGTAAACTGGTTTCTCTCATGTTAGGTTGCTAATGGAAGAATGAAACATTTATTTATTGATTGATAGTTGTTCGCGAGAAAACACATGCGAATGAATGTCTGAAATCTCACTGGTTTTAATGAGCGCATGCCGCCAGTCTCAGTAAACTTGCATTTGGATCTTATGAATGAAGACGGGAATGAAGGCGTTCGGGCGGGAAGGAAGCTGCAGCCAGCTATGGAATACCAGTGGGTCTCAGTAATAGAAAATCTTAACAAATCTAGTAGAGCATACGTTGTATTACATTGCTGATTCTATTCATGTGGCACACAGTGACACGGTGTGAGTTACCGGATGACGTTTCGAGAGGAATTTGTTGTCCGTCTTCATATCTCAAAGCAGTCAAACGACTTTTAAACTTCCTTTGTACAGTCAAACGGTCCTTAGTTCATTTTTAAAGTAGTAAAAGTTCCGATGTACCTGCAATACGTAACAAATCATCCCCGTTGCATATGTTGGTGCCGATTCAACGCACAAAGATTCCGCGGCCAACCTCTCCCTCCTACTAGCCGGGTTTGATTTCATAATTGTAATCCCATCCCACCCCATAGTGTGATTGTGGGTCAGTGCGTGAAGATCGGTAGCCGAGTTTTCCTTCAAGTTACCTATCTCAACAGGTCCACTTTTATCTTCCCGCTAAATGTTAGTGTTCCAACCCATCACGATCAGCTGCCGTAGCCTGTATACTTGACCACGCAATCACTACATGGTACTGAATGACTTGAGTTGTTTTTATTGCTGGCTAAATGGGATATTTTAGCCTGGAAAGTTTCTCCCAGAGCCAGTTTTTGGGTCCAAACATTGCTAAAACTTCCACGTGAACTTTTTGACGTTTCTTCATATAACAATACTCCAACTGAGTCGAATTTCCTCCCAGGCATAATGTTGTTGCCACCAACATTACCACTCCTTCACCTAACAAATATTATAAACGTTCGGATAAATTCCAGAAGAAGGGTATTAAGAAGCCATACCTCTTCAGCGTGTTTCACTTCCATATTTAGATTTTCTCACTTGCCAATCGGAATCAGCCCAATCACCGCAACATTTCTGGGGGCCCACCCTGACAAAAACTAGTGAAGACGGTGCGGAAACCAATTATCGGTTCAACTGCTTTAGTCTCCTATAAACACAGAAATCTAAGGCTCAGTCATCTTTCCTCCTGGTCATTGCAACTTGCCGTGATAACTCTCCTTCTTCACATTCCTATTCGCTAGTGAATTGAATTGCATCTGATATCTCGTTAACATGTACAAAATCAATCTGGATATCATCTGATTTCAACAGACCAAATGTTTCATCGACATATAACCACCATACTTTTTTGCTGGGGTGGGATATTCCCGGTGCTATTTGTTCCGAACTGTCCATAAGTATGTCCGGCACGATCGGAGATCCCACCGCTGCTCCTTCTACTTGTCAATATATTTTGCCTTGGAATTCGAAAAGCTTTGAAGTTAAACACATTCCTACCCCCAGCATGATTTCTCCGATAGAAACTTCAGTTCCATCTCCGAGCCCGTGGTCGGGGGGCGCGAGCTAATTTCTGACTGCCCCACGTACCATATTACTTGATCGATATTGTAAGGAGGCTTGTCAAATCAAAATTGACCATATTTTCTCTCTCGTCCTACTGTATGTAATTTGGTGTGTTTCAGCTCCAACGAATTTGAGAAGCTACATTTTGAGCGATTTGTAAGAGGGCATAGTATCGTGTCTGAATATACAGATATTTCGTCTTTGGGCATGGTTCGAAAGTCGGAAAAGACAGCAGCCTCCGTGACCAACACAACGATTTTGAGCAGTCTCTCAGCCATAACGTGAGCTCAGCTGAATCAAATGTTACTCACAGAGTCACTAGCAACAATAGCATTCAGATATTGCCTGTAAAACTGCAAGTGTTCGTATAATTTATCATTCGAAATACATTTATCATCACTATTATTAAAGGAATAAACTTTAACGTAGCGGTAGCTCAACTCAGACCTGGTATTGTTATATCAAACATGGGAGAAGCATTAAATTCAATCGACAAGACAACTGCTGATCAAGTACGTGCACGCTTAGCACTGACATTAAGACATCAAAAGAAAAAGAGGACGAACTTACCAAGAACGGTCACCGTGACGTCGAAAAATTTGAGAAGTGACAGTGTTGTAGTAATTTCTGGATCTGATATAAGTAACTCAGAATTAGCTACAGGGAAGGACAGTCGCTTATAAAACATCCACAAACGACAAAACAGGGCCGTATGAAGAAACCGAAAAACCCTCAGACACGGTTGTGGGTAAGGTTAAGAATCCCACGGCTGACGTAATACTTTGAATGAAACCGTCCTTTAGCGAGTCCCAGTGGTTTGATTGAGTGCAAAATTCTAATAATCCCGGTAGAACGAATGGCTGTAGCATTGGACCAGTGGTTGGCATTTGAACCACATACAGGGATGAAATATCTGTATATTCAGACACGATACTATGCCCTCTTACAAATCGCTCAAAATGTAGCTTCTCAAATTCGTTGGAGCTGAAACACACCAAATTACATACAGTAGGACGAGAGAGAAAATATGGTCAATTTTGATTTGACAAGCCTCCTTACAATATCGATCAAGTAATATGGTACGTGGGGCAGTCAGAAATTAGCTCGCGCCCCCCGACCACGGGCTCGGAGATGGAACTGAAGTTTCTATCGGAGAAATCATGCTGGGGGTAGGAATGTGTTTAACTTCAAAGCTTTTCGAATTCCAAGGCAAAATATATTGACAAGTAGAAGGAGCAGCGGTGGGATCTCCGATCGTGCCGGACATACTTATGGACAGTTCGGAACAAATAGCACCGGGAATATCCCACCCCAGCAAAAAAGTATGGTGGTTATATGTCGATGAAACATTTGGTCTGTTGAAATCAGATGATATCCAGATTGATTTTGTACATGTTAACGAGATATCAGATGCAATTCAATTCACGAGTGAATTGGGAAATGCAGGAGATTCGGATTTCTGGTTTCAGGATCAAATTACCGGTTACACCCCCCCCACTGATCGCACTACCATTCCCATTCCCATAATCTTCTCTTCCTTCTAAGTCACTGATCTCATGCTTTTTATTTAGCTTACCCGGGGTTTCTCCCACCGTTATGTCCAGCTGCCTTTTACTTTGTCTTTATGTTTGCACTTCCTTTCCCTTGATTTCGCTGGACACCTCTATCTTCTTTTTACACCCAGTCCGAACAACGTCCTGGTGGCAAAATACTTGAGGAGCGCATTGCAACACAGTCTTTGAGCAAGTTTAATTCTTCAAAGTTAATCGACTCAACCGCCCATTTGACCAACCATAGCTTCAGCAGGTGACTAAGTAGACCTACTACAGTGAAATCCACCAAAGACTTGGAACCGTCCTACAAGACCTAAAAGGGATCCTGAAGAAATCAAATGCATCACACAAGCTCTTGAAAAGATAATGGATATCGGATAGCCTACTTGCCGAGTGACCAACAGATTAGTCAGTATCTTATTGATTCTGTACCGCAGATTGGGCTTACTTTGATCTCTGCGTCTAACTGCAGCAGTACAAAGTGTACTTGCCCATTAAAATCACACAAGTGTATGATGTTTGTGGTTTGCGATCACTACAGTACTTAGCAGCTATGTTATTCAGACCAATTAACGCCACTTTTGAGTCTTTCCAACTTTCAAATCCCTCAGACACCATAAAATGCACGGAAACTGTAGACAGACAGTTATTCAATCCTAGCAGAATAAAGTCCAGAAGAATTTATGCTGTTATCACTTTTATCGAAGTGATCCCAAAAAGGGACGTTGATGTTTTCCCACCAGTGGCCTACTAGTCAAGTGACCTAGGAGTGCGTCAGTACCTTATTTACGCTATACGCCCTCTTCTATTGCCTCTCTTCATTGCAACAACCAGATTCCGAGAGCCTCAGTATTTTGATTCTAAGAGGATTATGACGACTACATCACCAGACACAATATTTGAGTTTTATTCATTCTAGTTAACCAAATCTTATGTAAAGTCTCAGCGCATGATTTAGAGTGTACGTAACATGACTATATTCTCTAGCGGCACACAAAATTTGTTTGGTTCTGTCCAAAACAAAAGTATGGCCAACATTCGGAAGACGATTGAAGTTCAGTCTCTCCCCGGAGATACAGTCTCTTGCCTCCGATTCAGCCCTGAATGTTTGCAAACGACGTTTCTGGCAGCCACCAGCTGGGATAATCGTGTGCGAATATGGGAGGTTCAAGGGAATGGAGCTACTATCCCTAAGGCAGAACAGATTCATCAGGGTCCAGTTTTCGGTGCATGTTGGAGCACTGTAAGACTTACTTTTGATCCACTTTTATTTTTTGAAGGATGGTACAAAACTGTTTAGCGTGTCTGCAGATAAAACTGCACATATGTGGGATCTTGGATCGAATATGTTTACTCAAGTAGGTGCTCATGATGCACCTATCAAGACGGCCCACTTCATCACTGCTCCAAATTATTCCTGTTTGATGACTGGATCGTGGGACAGAAGAATAAGGTACGTTTTTCCCTACACTCATAGGAGCTTAAGGCTACACTAAGGGTTATTTCTATCTACCTTCGTCAGTGTTAAATAGTGCCTAAAGTCAACTTTTATCATGTTGCCCCTACTTGAGTCGGGCAGTTGTTTGGCCATGACATGTCTGCATAGTTTCCGAAATTCATCCACAGTATTCACTTTTGGGGTCAGGCACTCCAGGGATGCAAGTTTATTTTCCGATTGAATTAAATTACTCTATTGCGCACCTTAGTGTAGGGATAACTTTGCTTCCAGCGGGAACCACCGTGGAAAATACAAGCAATGATAATGACAATTATTATTATTATTATTATTATTATTATTATTATTATTAATTATTCACCCCTTGGGTTCTTAGTAGAAATTAGGGCTTCGGTAGAACATCGCCATTTCACTATGTTCTCTGCAGTCCTTTGAACCTGGCTCCGCGTCTGCCCACAAGCTTTCCATTTATTCCTCACATGATCTCTTCCATCTCACCCTCGGCTCAGAACCCCCAACTCGTCGTTTCCCATGCGGGTTCCACTCGACAGTCTGGCTCGTGATGTCCCCAATTGTTCTTCTCAATGTATTCCCAATCCATCTCTACTTCCCTCTGCATATTCGGTGTGCAATGATTTCTTGGTTGCTTCGTTGTCCGGTCACAGTTCCTTGTTGCTTATTATTATTATTCTGGCCTTCTGATCTTTAGTACTCAGCGAGCACAGGCAGCTGTTGATGCATATCTGTAGTTTATTGGAGATGCTTTTTGTAACGCGCAAAGTCTCTCAACCATCACATAGAAGCACTGACTCGACTGGTATTAGTGTTGAAAATCCGGATGTTGTTCGTGCTTCATGCTGAGTGCAGTAGACCTTCACAGTGATCTCAGATTGATGAAGGCCTGTCTTGCTTTTCCAATCCTGGCTCCGACATCCCCATCTGTGCCACCTGTATTTGAAACGATACCGCCTAGGTAGATGAAAGAGACTGCTTCCGTTAGGTTTCTCCCGTTGATGCTGATTGGTACTTAATGTTGTTGTTGTTATTGGTTGGGTATCTTCATCACCTCTGTCTTCTCTACGTTCATCTGAAGGAAGTCCCGTTTTCCTTTGCTGCCTCGCCTCTTCTGCCAACTTGTTGGTTTTCGCCTGTAGATCTTCGAGCTTGTGCGACATTAGACATAAATCATCGGCGAAATCCAAATCTTCTAAGATCTTTTCATCCTTTAAACAGCGTATGCCCATCTTCTCGCTCCTCACAGTTTGTTGCATGATCCAGTTCAGTCCATTCGACCACATTCAGGAAGACTATCGGTGATAGTGGGCGGCAACCTTATCTTACTCCTGTCTTCACTTCAAAATCATCACTGAGCTTTCCATTGTGGATCACTTGACATGTTGTATGTAGCATCATATAGCATATAGTTGCTGTTAAATGAGGTTGGCAAACGTTCGTGGCACTGAAATCTTCGTGTTGAAACAGTTGCCAAATTATTTCTCAGGTGACGTTATCAAAGGCCTTTTCAAAATCGATGAAGTTGAGATAGAGAGTTGACTACCATTCTGCGCTCTGTTCTATGGTGATGCATGGCGTTGTAATTTGATCCGCACATGATTCGTGTTTCCTTAAGCCAGTCAGCCTGTCTCGGGGGTGGTTTTGATTGTAGATCATTGTTTAGTCTCTCCAGTATGATGCTGCTGAATATTTCGCTTGGGGTGGACAATGGTGGAGCATGATTTCTCGCCAGTTCTTTCAAGGACTTAGGTTTCCCTTCTTTGGGGGACTGACATTGTAGTCCTTTTTCTGATCGGTGGGCAGGTACCTTTCCTGCCTTCGAAATATTCTGCAGTGGTGATATGAGCATGTCTGCTGTTGTCTCTGTGTCGGTTTTCAGTGCTACTGACAGAATTCCATCTGGTCCTGCTGCTTTCGCGGATTTCGCCAACTTTGTGGCATTCAGTACTTCACCTTCGCTTTCATCGGAAAGCTTGTGTTAACTGGTAGTTCTGTGGCTGCTGGTAGAATTTGTGAACGAGTTGCAGGTGGTGGTCGATTCAAGGGTTTTTTGAAATGGTCAGCCCATTGTTTCCTTTGTTTCTCCACCTTGGTAACTGGGTTTCCTTCACTATCTTTCATTGGTTTCATGTGTGTGTTGACCTCTTCTTAGATAGCATTTTGGTTATTTGATGTGGTGTTGTGAGGTCTCCTACCACCACCCTGTTCTGCTTAACTTGCCAATGCGTCATAGAAGTGTCTTTTGTCTTTAGGTGCACTCTTCACTTTTTTGTCCAGCGTTTTATAGGTTGTGTTCAGCTCCTCTTTTCGTTGTTCATCCCTGCACTGCACTGGATCACCTGCTTCATCATCTTCCTCTCCTCTATCAGCTTCCGTCGAGATCCATTCCTCGTCCTGTTTCTTCTTTCTTCCTAACACAGTTATGCAGGTTTCTTTCCACATCTCTTTCAAAGAGTTCTAGTGTTTTTCCGCGGAGATTTCTTCAGGGATGTTGCTAAATACCTTCCATTTTGTCCTGATGACTGTCGACGTGAAGATGTCCTTTGTAGTTTCGCCCTTCAGTTTCTGTTTTGGGTGTTGAACTGTGGTCTATCACCAACCTCTTTGAAGGTTTTCAACTTGATTTGGAAGGTAGTTTCCTTGCACTAGATAGTGGTGTAAACCTACATCCGCTCCCCTTCTTTACGATATATGCAAATCTTTAAAGCTGCAAAAATTCACTGTCAATGTCACATAGCATTTTCACTGTTCGCTGGGATGTGTATTGTTATAATAATAATCTTTTGCAATCAGCAGCCTTGTGAACATTCGTGCAGTAGGCAGTGAGCTACACCTATTTTGTGAGGTACTGGTACTACCTGGCTGCCCATACCTCGACAGGTGGAGCGGATCTTTAATGCGTGACCCGTCGTTTGAAAGTCATCTTAGACTAATGGGCCGCAGCTCCACATGTGTATTGTTGCGACATGCTGTCCCAGTGTGGCACTCAGGTATGCATGTATATCAAACTAGCTATGTGCGCACCCAACACTCGTAGACAGAAGAGAATATTTCTTAGATCGTCTAGTTTTCCTATATGACACACAACTGGTTTATAACTTTCTGATGCTCACTGAATAATTTCGACTTTATGTTTCTTCACCATAGTTGCTAGTCATTTATTTAAGTAACTGCGCGAATCCTGTTTGAAAATCTCGTTTCCTTACACAACTCAAACCAGCATTGAAGCTTCTTCGGCTGCTACCACTTTTTATTCTGATCGCTTTTATTATTTTTCCGACTGAAACTTACTTCATCTAGGGTTCTGTGTTGTGGTATATGGTGTACTGTAAAAAGTAAGACATGTCCCGGTTACCTCAGTCGAAGATTCGTAACTTTATTAGTTAACCTATCACCTTCGTATTAGGCTCAGCGTCTAACGTTTAGATTACCAAGGAAGGGGTTCCATGATGTGTGGCCAATGCTCCAAGGCAACGGTAGTCTAACACCTACAGCCTGTTTAGGTTCACTCTAATGATCATGTTCCATAACCATACAGTAGGACAAGAAACCGCCGCACTGACCACTCGACTATTAGTGAGTATTTACTTCTTACTAGTGTTACAAGTGGTATATACTGGTAAAGTTCAGTCAAATCTTATGTGTGCCAAGTTTTTTTGAGTTGTTGCGAAGAGTAAAAAGAAATAAAACTACATGGCCAAACCAATAAGTTGTAATAACAACAGCCATAAACCGAATAAACTGCGCGGCGGTTCGGTCTGTCCTGTTTTACAGCTGTGAGACATGGTCGTCAAAAGTAGAGGACATGAAACAGTTACAGAATTTTGATCGCAGATGTCTTCGTATCATTCCTCGCGTTTCGTGGAATCACTGCGTAACCAATGTTGAGGTCAGGCTAAGTGTGCTAGACAGGACACCCAAGTCGATTAATGAGGCTTTGAACCTTCGTCGACTAAAATGGCTTGGACATGTACTGCGTATGCCGAACCATCGTTTACATCAACGTGCAGAACTTAGAGGAGATGGATTAGGTTGGGAGAGGGATTAGAGTGGCCAGACCGAGACCTGGGACCAGCTGGTGAAGTCCTTGACTGTCGGTTTCAGCCGTATGGGGAATGTAGACTGCATGTTTGGGGTCTCTGAGACGAAAGAAATCAATGATTGAGGACTTTTGGTGACATGGCTGAAGATCAGTCACAATGTTGCAGATACATTTACTCCTTGACATCTTTTAAAGCTTGAATATTCAAATCACTTATTCTCTCACAATACTTTATCTACTTTGATATCACTTCCTTTCTGTCCAGCTGTTTTTTGTGTACTTCTATGAAGTGTGGCGACCTGAGCTGGTGCACTAGTGTGCGAGGTTCTACATTGATTTTCTCAGCCAGTCAGAAACGTCATCTAGTGAATAACAATGTTTTGCTGTCCTTCTTATTAAATGAATTTAATGTATACAGTAGTTAAAAACCTATATCAGTTTTACAAATGCCTCCATGTCTAATTGTTATATCAAGTTTTGTGGCTCGGTTCATCCCCGGTTATATTTTCTCATTCCTTTACATGGCTTTGGATTGCATCATTTCCATTTCTTTGTTTTTCGTATTATCGACTTGTATCTCGGTATATTGATATGATATATGGCTACTTCGGTTGCTACGCGGAAATGCCATTCCCTATGGATCTAAGTGCCGTGTTGGCTTGATAATGTCAAACATGGGGAGGACGTTATCTTACTTATTTTCACTGTGATGTGTAAAAAACTGATTAAATTGATGTTCAAATACTTCCAGTGTTTCAGAGTCCCTTTCCGACAATGTTCGTTACTTAAAGTTGAAAGGGCAAAACTTGGTATACTTCTGTTGGTTGGAACTACTGTTTACTCCGGTTCACCGTAGAGGATTTAGAAAGCTATGGTTTCGAATCACTGATGACTATGTGCTTTTCATCATTGGAAATTTCGATGTTACCCCACCATTTTTCAGGATAAACCCAAAAGCTCTAGGTCTTTTAGGCCAGCTGTCTATTAGTTTAGGCACATACAGTACACTGTCCATCGCATGACACGTTTCACTCGAATAGTGCTCATGCAATCGACTGTATAGTTTTTAAGCCTTCTAAGAATTATGGTATGTAACTGATCTAGTGCTACTAATTTTTCTTTATCCAATGGACCCAATAATCTATTCACTCTCTCTTGCTACAAACTTTTCCAATGTGATATCAGTTTCCTCTTTCTAATTATTTTTGGCATGGTGCTATAAAATGTGGCAACTTAAACGGGTGAAGCTTTGTGACAGGTACTACGTTCATTTGTCCGTCTCCTAATACTCTCTTTTCCATGCTGGTCAATGTCTGTAGGAATTTACTGACTTTTTACTCGTGACATTAATTCTCGTATAGGAAATGTGACCGAATAGCCTACCATTTAGGATGGTGACAGCATACTGAAACATAATTATGCGTAAGAAAAGTTGGCTGTGTAACTATCAACCTTTTTATGGAGCAAATGTGTATCATTGACTGGCAGCCTGATTGTTTTACATTCTTTTGTTTTGTATTCAACCATTCTGTTAACTGCAATGCAATATTTTATTTTCTGAGTGACAAAAATAGTGACGTTTCTTTGCTGGCTCTAGGAATCGTGTCTCCTTTTCAACGTGTGTATTTCCACGTTACTCATAGTGGAGCTGTGGCTCATTAGTTTAGGGAGATGATTTTCAACCCTTGGGTCATGGGTCTGAACCCCTCTCCACCTTCTGAGGTTTGGGCAGCCAGTTAACAGCATCATTAGCCCTCACACAATAGGTTCGGCTCATTGCATAATGTACGAATGTTCACAAGGTTGCTGAGTGCAGTATTTTTATTTTTTTACGACACTCGTATAAAAACACTTAGCAACTCAAGTACATGTACACTTGTCCAAGTATCCTAATATATTAAGTGGGGAGGTACAATTGGCTCCCATTGGCTTAGGAATTCGCCTTTTATACATGTTCATAAAGTCGGAATCCCATTCCAATGACGTCAGTCTGGTCAGCCAAGTAGTATCCCAAACCTTTTCACAATTTTCAGCTTATAACCTAATAAATAAAACTATATTCAGTAATGGAGTCACAATAATTACAGTTAGGACATACCTTACGTTAAACCAACATTAAGAGAAAGGACTAATGACAGCATTCGCATGTTTGTACTAACCTTTTTCTGTCACTGAAAATCCTATCCCTGTCACCTATGTTCCCTTACTTCTTTTTATTAGCGTGATTCTAAGTTCTACAGTTTTTCGTTTGAAAATCACTGTTTAAGGCAGGTGACTGTCGAATGTTTGCGAATCATAACTATCTGTAACATTTATTGATCAGTGTATGTAAAAACAATCCCATTGTTTTTAACTAATCACAAACTATTGGTTCCTCTTTCATTCCGTATTGAGGCATCAGCATAGGGCTATATAATCCGGAGCTCATCACATTCTCACCCTTCGCCAGGTTATGGAACACAGGCCTACTTACCGGTGGCCGACACTTGGTACATTTCTTGACCTGAAGGCCACATTCCACGTTGTCGACCGAGAAATGTTGTGGCAGTTTCTGACGTTGAAAGGAGTAACAAACAAAAGTATAATACAAGTCAAAGGTCTGTACTCAAATTCGAGCAGCTGTGAAACGGGTAATAGGGAGTTGTCATCAGAATTGATGACTACTAGTGGTGTCCGCGAGGGCTGTCCACTGCCACCGTTCCTATTTGATTTCGTTATCGAGGTAGCAATATATATAACCTCTTAGTTCACACGATTTCGCCTACTCCTTGAAGGACATATGGTTGACTAGATGTACGCAGATGACACTGTCCTGTTAATCAAAACTGCTGACAAAATCTAGGGTATTCGGAACGCGTTCCACAGAAATTTGTGTGTATTTGACACGCATTTTGCACCTATCAACTGTGCGATGATGCTTCAGGGCTGGTCTGCAATTGCTCCCAGTTTAAGAATACCGATTTAAGTGGGTGGATGCGTCGACCACTTCACTTACCTGAGTAAGTGCATCAACCTGAAAAGGTTGGTTGATGACGAAGTTTCAGATCGGACAAAGAAGACCTGTTTGGCATTTGCTAACTTGCACCAGCCACATATTAGACTACCGACTAAACAACGAGTACATTGCGTTGCATTGCATTTTGTCCTGTTGTGAGGCTGTGAGACATAGCTGTCCAAAGTAGATACGAAGCGACTAAAGGTTTTTGACCATACGTGTCCCCAAAGCATTGCTCCCGTTTGGTGGAATCATTATATTAACAATATCGAGGCTAGGTGAATGGTACTAGGCTAAGAAGTCAAGTCAGTCGATGAAATTGTAAACCTTCAGAGGGTGGGTGAAGTGGCCTAGATATGTGTTTTTCATGGTAAGCGACCAACTGCCTTGACGTGCAATTCTAGGTGACGTTAGATCAAGTCGGAAGAGAGTTCAGAGTAGTCAGACCAAGACACAGCACCATTGCATGGAGTCTGTGAGTGTTAATCTGAGCTGGGTAGGGAGGTATTGACTGCTTGGTTGGGGTCCCTTAGGTAGTAGGAATAAATAGTTGGAGATTGTAGGTAAGATTGCTGAAAATCAGTCACAGTGACGCAAGTGTATTCACTGTTTACTGTCCTCTAAAGCTTTACTATTCTCACTGACTTTTATTTTCGAATTTTTTCTACTCCTATATACTTTAGTCTACTTTAGTATCAGTTGTATTGTATTTACTTGTTCGGTTCATGCTAATGTGAACTATGGTAACCTGAAACCCTGCACATGTGTATCAGGTTCTACGTTGATTTCTGTTTTTGTTCTTAACAAAGCTTATGCCTGGATCTGAATCATCAAAAGTCGTATGATTTTTTCAATTCATCACCTACTGTGGAACTTTGTTTTCCTTCATCGCTTAGTCAACTTTTACCTTCATCTTTTTGATGATTTCACTGCTGTCTCACACACTTGTTTTTACTTTCTTTGGTTGAGATTGTAGTAGTTAACAAGGGACTCCATACTTCAGCAGCTTGTGTATGACGTCTGCTGTTCTTATTACAACTAATTTCCTAAAGTCATTCTATATTATTTAGTTTTGTAAATGGTCTTCAGGATGCTAATATTTACCTGGGGACAACTCTATCTAAGAAAGTTCCAAAGTATGGTTTAGTTCAGTGAGCCGAATACATCCCTTTTATCAAGAAACACAACGGTTTCAGGTCAGTATTCGTCATGGACTGACGTCAGTCAGAGAAACATTGGAAACCTGGGAGCACTGGACAGATTTTTCGTCTTAGCATGTAAATCCTCATAGTGTGCACCCATGATCCTGCCAATGATCAAACCTGAAATCAATCAATAAATCCCTGCAAACCTGAAAATTGAAGGTAACGATTATTGACTTGCAATACGGGTGACGGTGTTCAGGAATCCTTATGTGGTGAACACGTGATCAATGCGCCCACAGCCTGAAGGAAACACAGCACGCTCCTCACAGATCAGCTTGTCATATGTTTTAGAGGGTGTCCGCATTATGGTAGCAATCAATATTTTGTGTTACCTTTAACATACTGATACTTCTATAATTGTTGTTTACTTAGACCCTTTTAAAAGTTGAGTACAATGATGTTCTCGTTCTATTTTGATGAAACGCTCTGATTTTATCATACTTTCTCGAGCGATCCAGTCATTTCTATGGCTGAAGTCTTGCATTCATACTAAGTAAACAGCAAGGGTTAATATGTTGATATGCTAGATAATACGGGAATTTTGCTAACTCCAGTAAGAAGTCATTTACCATCTGATAACTTTCGCTTTCGATCTTAATCACTTCTTCATTTTTAGTAGTATGATTTCTATTCATATTATTTTAGCTTTCGTTCATTGTACAAAAGGAACAGTTTCATTTGAATGAATGATGCGATACGGTATGTGAGTCACTATCACCAACTTTTCAGTCATTCTGATTTTTGGAGGTAGTCTAAATTGAGGGCGATCAGTTAACCCACACAACCACACCGCTGTACCATTATGCATCGTTATCAACAGACTAACTATTACTTCATCATCATTTCATGAAATCAGGTATTCTGGGTGCCTTGGGTCCCTTCAAAGCTTCAGGATAAGGATCGGTCGCAGTAATCTGTTGATAGTTTTTAGCATATCCATTCTAAGGTTAGGTAATCTGCAAATAAATGTATTTGTGAAGGAATTTTTTCAGTATATCTTGACAGTTAGTATGAATAGCCATTATTACTCTCGATTATTATGTATTTTCTTTTATTTTTTGGTAAGATGTTATGTTTTTACTTTGTTGTCGAGGTTTGCACAACAATTTTTGTTTCCTTTTTGATCTGCTGTTACTGTTGCAGAGTTGTGGCTCATTGGCTTATGCAGCTGACTTTCAACTAATGAGTTACGCGTTCGATCACCGCTCTACCTAACCGGGTTCTAGCGTCCAGGTAGTATCATCCGGTCATGCATAATAAGTATAGCTCATCACCTACTGCACGAATGCGCACAAGATTTCTGAGTGCATCTTTTCTGTCTTACTGGTACTGTCACTTGTGATCTGACCAGTGTGGATTAGTTTATTATTCATATAAGTAAATCAATTAGTAGTTATTCTACTGGAGGTTACTCGGTTGGTCATTGAATTGAGAATATGTATCACAAACTTAACTTTTCAATAAACTGCTTTTATATTGATTGGTGATTGGATGGCTTTCACTTGAAGGTGATCGATTTGCTATTTTTTTTTGCAAGATTAATGTTATTTTTCATAATTCTTATGTAAAAAGTAATGGTTTACTTACAGATTTTGGGATACAAGACAGGCTCAACCCATTTTGAGCTTGGATTTACCTGAAAGAATATATTGTGCTGATGTTCATTATCCATTGGCTCTTGTTGCTACTGCAGGTAGACAAATATTCGTTTACAATTTGGAGAATGGTCCTACTCAGTTTAGTCAAATAGAGTCCCCTCTTAAATTTCAGGTTAGTGTATTTTTCGAATGAATATTTATACAAGATTATTCATGACTTTAGAACAAAATTTGAAATATCCATACAATGATTTTTTTTAACCCCATGTACTGATGTTCAGTTTTTGTCTATAAACAATTTTCTGTAGCATATAGTGCTGAATAATCCTCAGCATTCATAATAGACGGTTATTATTGAACTAATTTAATGACAACATTATCTTCCTGTTCACATTTTAGGTCTTCAACCAATAAACACTAATTTATTACTTGTCCATAATTATTGTATCCGTAGTGTATTGTGGTGATTTCTTGCGAGATTTTCTCTTATCAGGCCAGTAGTATTTAGAATGAAGCACGTCTCATGACTTGGTTTACAAAGCACTTGAAAAGTATGTCCTTTCTTGATTCAGACCACATAGTTTGCTATCCAGAAATCCAATAATCTTCGCTGTCAACGGTGATGTTTGGAAGTTACAAAAAAGAGATGGTATTTACATTAATTTCATTAAATCATTTCATGCACTTCAGGATTTGCTATGATAGTGTCTTGGGTTTCACCGGGTTTAGGATTTTCTCGTGTTATGATCGCTATGTAAAGCTGTGGAGCACAAGTGCATACACTGCTTTTCTTACCGAGATGTAGGGAGTCCAGGTAGTACTGTAGAAAACAAAAAGATGGACACGATGAAAGGAATGTTTATGATTGACATCTTGTGCAGTAGTCGTCAAATGTTTTACACCTTCCACTAAGATAGTCATTTGCATAATGTGCTTCATTCCCTCTTCTGCTTCTATCACGACTTCCTCTGAATACGCCTACATTGTCTCTTGCGTTTCTCTGGACAGAATCTTTACCCATTGCTGGTAATTCCCTATGATTTCTGCCACCCTCTCAAAGTATACTACTCATATCCATTCTGACCAGCAACGCCCACTACAATACCACTACATTTCACATAATTGGCATAGCTCATTGCCTTATTCATGAACACACATGTAGTTTGCTGGGGAAATTTAGTTTGTTGAGTGTGGTAGTTGTTAGCTAAGTGGTCTAATCACTAATAATTGAATATGCATTGTTCGACTACGTGTATATGAAATGGGGTATTTGACATGATTTCAGCCTACTGCAGAACTTCAGTTACGTTTGTTTAAATACCGTTTAATTGGAATGAAGCTGATAATGAGCATATTATTAACATATAGTCACTTGCTTCACTTTCTCTGTGCTTACGCCACCCAACAGGACATCGGAATGAACATGAAATTATGAAACCAGATACAGTAGGGCCAAATGTAAAAGAGGGTACTTCCAAGGTCTAAAATACGCATTTGAATCAAAGTAGAATTTAGTACAGGGTAAAACATTGGTATAAGCTACCACACTCCACAACATTACTTGAAGAACTCGATACCTCACAGTCATGAGTGCACACCGATAAGGAGTACCAAACCGGCGCATAAAACCTGACTGTCACTGTAACGTTTTCGATAACCCTGTAAATGATATCGATCCGTGATCAAAACTACTTTAATGTATAAATATATAAATTCCATTATTGGTTTTCATTCCTATAAAAGTATTGTTTTTTCTTGTTAACCTTATCTATTAAGATCAAATTACTTTTAACTTTTCACAATGTTGACAATTATTTAATCATATTTAATTTGTTTTCATACCAATAGAGTCGTTGTATATCCATATTTATGGATAAACAAAAACAAAATCCCAGTGGATTTGCCCTAGGCAGTATCGAAGGACGAGTTGCCATACAGTACTTAAATCCTAATACTCCGAAAGATAACTTCACTTTTAAATGTCATCGCTCCAATGCACCTATCAATGGGTATCATGAAATCTTTGCAGTAAGTTGTATTTATGTAATAGCTCACTCCAACATTAGTAGTAGTATTTTATTTGTTCAATGAAACTTAAAAGAGTACTCGAAATCTGATTATGACTAGTACTTAATTTATTCTGATTCGAATTATAGCTAAATTGCTCGAAAATATTGATGAGGTTCTAGTAGGTAATACCGGTTAGAGTTAGGTTATATATGGATAATTTTATAGTGTCTTGTGGTCGACGGCAATAAGAGCCCTTGATTTTAAAACACTGTTAATAATGGATTGCTAATTGGAATTGCAAAGGTTAAGTCAATACAGAATTTTAACCGACAACCTCGGAGTGGTTGCCTACATTGGAATTCTACCGAGCGAACTACGAGACCCAGCTACTAACCAGAGATTAATTCCACTCCAATCACTGAATGTTTTGCATAACCGTCATGTTAATAAGAGTGGTATTTGATGGTACTTTCATCAGCACGCTTAGTTGCCCAATCAGGTCTTTGCGTTCTAAACCTTATCATGCTGAATTAGAGATAGGAAATAACTGCTTGATTATTGGTGAAAGTGTTTGAAATATTGTTCGCTTGACAGACTAGTCTTAAGTAATGGGAGTGATTAAAGTTGAAACAAAACCTTCTGCCATTCAAATTTCCTGGGCAATCGACTTTCAGCCAATGGGTCATGGGTCCGAACAATGCTTTTCTTACTGAGGTCTGCACAGACAAGTAGAATCAGTAACCCTCACGCAAAAGGTATGGATCGTCGTCTATTAAGGATCCATTGTACTGTGCTGCAGTTCGATTTTATGGCTGTGAAAAGTGCCTACTAAAGGTAGAAAAAATGAGAAGACTTCTAGTGATTGACTACCGTTGCCTTCGTAGCATAGGCCGTATGTTGTGGTGTCACAATTTCAATAATACTAAAGCTACGTGTGGAGTTTTAGGGAGGAGAGGAAAGTCAGTTGATAAGTTCATGAACCTTCATCGACTCAGATGGCTAAAACAGTTCTCGAGTAACTCAGTTTTATTCGCTTGGCATTCTATTCGCTTAGTTAGTACGTAGGTGACCGGTAAACACTTGTTACGAATGCAAAATACTTTTATTACTTATTTATTTGTGATATACTTGCTTATTTAGTGTGTGTTACTCATAAAACCTATATACAGAAAGCTTAGATGGTTCATTCTAGCGTAAACCGGTCAAAACATCTGTGTTCTCATTTGCGCATAAATGCGCACAATAGTTTTGATTGTTATTATTTCCATTATCTAGCAAGAAAGTTCATCACACCAAGTGTCTCAGCCAATTTTAATTTTATGATCTTGATAGCGTAGCATGTTGGAGAGTGAATTCTCGACAATCTCTCCCTATACCACAATAGTAGGTTGATTTTTGCGTTAATAAGTTTTGCATCATAATAATAAATGAATAATACATCATGTACAGGTGTTTGTATACTAGACTGCGAGCTATAATTTGTTTTACGAGGACGATACTGCTACTGCCAAAGTAGGTAAAGCTGGATTTAGACCTAGGACCGATTGGTGGAAATTCAAGTGCTTAAGTAGATGAGTCACACTGTTACACTGTCATTGAAAACGTTGTTGATCAAACTGTGAGTGTTTTCTATACTATCTTCGTTGACGGTGACAAAAGTATCGTCTACATAGCGAATCCAAATTTTGGGTTTAATCACAGATAAAATGATGGCTTCCAGTCTCTGCATCACTGCTTCCACGATTAGTCTGGATATCGGTGATCCCATTGGAGTTCCTTTAATCTGTTTATTTATCTTGCCATTAAGTTGGAAGTATGTTGTCAGACAATAATCGATGAGTCCCATCAGACTTGAAAATTTAAGTATTGTTCATTCTGAGAGGCTTGTGTCTTCGGTGAGCAGGAGGGACATAGTTTCCTAGGCCAATTGGGGTTCGATGGATATGTATAATGCTGTGATATCGAAGAATACCATTAATTCGTCGTTTTCTATATTAATGCTTTTGATCTTTCCTAAGAATTCTGTTGATGATTTGATGGAATGTCCATATGATTGAACGAGGTGTTTCAGTCTTCTCGAAAGTTCTCTTGATATGTTGTGTGTTAGAGTTTACGGAAGTGAGAATATCGGTCGTAGAGGGATTTCTGGTTTGTGTAATTTTGGTCTGCCGTAGAATAAAGGAAGGGCAGTTCCATTCGATTTCAGCCTCCATTTATCTTGCTTTGTTATATCTTCTGCTTTGAAGAGTTTGTTTAAGGTTTTATTGATTTGGTTGTCAAATTTTTGGATAGGGTTGTTTTCAAGTGGTGGATATACGTTTTCGTCTTTGAGTAATTCCTCTGCCTTCTTAATATAGTCTTCTTTATCCATGACTACCATGGTGCGTCTTTTGTCTCCTGGAAGTAAAACGATATCTTTCCTATTTTTCACTCTTTTTGTTTTCTGTTCTTGAGTGTTCGTTTGAGCGTGATCTTTCCTGCCTGGTCAATGGTACGGTTGTTTGCCATATTTCTTGTTGAGTGACCTCATTTAATCCTGATGTTTTAAGCTACGATTCTAATGCCCCAGAGAATTCTGGTTTAAAGGCATCTCTTGTGGTGAAATTCACTTCTTTCTAAAGAAGTTCTACCATTTATGTTAATGGTTGTTTTGATAAGTTGGCACAACAGTCGTTTGTTTCCTCCACACCCCATTATGCAGACCAAAGGACGCAACAGCCAAAGAAGACGAACCGAATATCATTTACAAAATCATTTGCAATAACTGCAATCAACACTACACTGGACAAAGTGGTCGCCCTCTTTACCTTCGTCTACATAAACAATTGGCCTTTAAACGTCATACATGACATTTCATCACTCATTTCAATGCATATGGATAGCAACTATGCACATGAATTCAATTTTGACTATGTAGACAGAGATCTTGGATAGAGGAAACACGAAGAATATCAGAGAATTCCTAGAAGCTTGACATTCAGGTCAGTCAGTCAGCAATCAATAGATGTATAGATATGGACCCAATCTTTCAACCAATGTGAAAAATGATAAACGATAGGAAGGTCAGAGGTGAATCAGAGGAACAGCCAACAGGAAAATCTATACAGTCAATGACACAACAATAAAAGGAAACAACCAATCACAAACCAGTTCGTCAGGGTAAGCTACTAAGTCACTCACGGAGAGATATTCACATTTCACTTCATACTGAAGTCAGTGCTGATGAGATGGTCTAGAAAGACAATGAAAGCTCTATGATTAAACAACTCAGTTCGGCAAATGCTATACGTCCCAGAAGTGTAATGGGTGGAGGTTTTATAGGGGCTAAAGGGAGACTTGGCACCAGTCTATGGAGTCTCTTATTGTTTGTGTGGTTTGTATGACGAGATGTTGACTGTCTATTTGTGGTCTCCGAGACGAATGGAATCAGTCATTGAAGGCTCTTGGTAACGTGTCTGAAAATCAATCACAGTAGTGCAAATGTTTTTACTTTTGACATCTTCTAAAGTCTGAATATTCACACTAACGTTTATCTTCGGATTGGTTATTTTCTCACACTACTTTATCTACTTTGATATCACTCCTTTTCTGTCCAGCTGTTTTTTATGTACGTCTATGAAGTGTGGCTACTTGAGCTGGTGCTCTTGTATACGAGGTTCTGTATTGGTTTTTTCCGTCAGTCATACTGTTGTAATGCTTCTCCCCTATAGCCTCTACCATACCAGAAGGCCAAGTTGAATAGTTGTAAGCCGGAAAGCAACTACTGTCATGGTATAAATTACTATGCTATGATGGAGGTTCGAAAGGGATCTCGTACTGCTGGCCGAGTAGAAGTGTGACAGCTGTAAGATGTGTCTTACAGATGACCATCTGTACCATGCTGACTCTACCTTTCGAGTGGAAAGACGGGTGTCAGAAAAGGTCGACCTTAATAATAACTCACTCCCATCCATTGCGGTCGCCTGGTTCCAGTAAGATATGCGACTACTTACCGAAGGATGAGCATATTTATGTCATAGTTCTCTCTATTCTGCTATAGGTTTGTGAAATATATCTGTTCAAAGCAGGAAACGCGAAAAGATTGCATGTTTTCTTAAAAAATAATCGTTTAAATAATGTTAAGGCAAGGAAGATAATTCAGTCGAAGAAGTTGGGAACTTCTGGCGGCTGAAAGGGCTTAGATATATGTTGCCCATGTCAAGCCTTCATTTACCGCAATATCGCATGCTTATCAAAGGAAGATGAGGTCGGGAAAAGGGTAAGAGTGGCGAGATCAAGACGTGGTACCAGTCGATGAAGTCTGTGACAGATTTTCTGAACTTTAAATTTGGGGGTTTCTGGGGATTTAGAAATGTCAGTCCATGATGAATACCAACTTCAAAAATCTCTAAATCCCCACAAACCTCCAAATTCAACTGAACTAGTGTTTATCGGTGACTAACTTCGAGAGGTTATTCCTGAATTTCCAATGCGAAGTCATGACCAGTGGGGCAAACCTGGTGGCTGTGAGGACAAATACTGAACGATGACATTGGGTGATGTTCGCGCTATGTCGTGAACTGATAGAAGTTGGAAATATAGACCATTAGACCCAGTGGCTAAGTGGTAACGTACTGACCACGGAACCTGAAAGTCGCTAGTTCATTCCCTGGTGGGGTCATGGGTGTGCACATCTGGAGAGTTCTATACTAGGACGAAACAGCTTCTGTCCAGTACTCCCAGGTTTTCAATGTTTTTATGATTGATGTCGGTCCGTGACGAATATCAACTTGAAAATTTTCTGAACTTTGCTGAGAGATGTGATTCTGCTTTTTCGGGATCTTCGATGCGATAGGAATGAATAGTTAAAGACGCTTTGTGATGACAAAGCCGATGATTTATACATTTTTTGTCATATACAAAGGCTTGATCCTTTCTGTTATCCTCTTATTTTTGTCCTCTTTCTTGTTATGGACTTCTGTCAAATAACAGTTACGTCAGTATAACTTGAAAACTTTTAAAAGTAGATTTGTCATGGA